GAACGATGTGGCAGCCTGCTTCACGTAAAGGTTTGTGGCCTTGGAAACCCAATGGGGCAGCTCTCTTCCGTCTGACGGGGTCACCGTGGGTCAGAATTGACTTGACGGCAGTGGGTTTGGCTAGTTTGGTTTTGACTTAAGTTGTCTATACCAAACCATCCTGTTCCTGGCAACAGTCCTCACGCCCTGGCCTCTCTGAGCTGCTCCTGGTCCCCCTTCTTAAATCCAGGCCTTTGCAGACGCTGGGAACACTGCCTGCAGGGCCGTGACGAGAGCAACGTAAGACTACCTTGCAAGACACGGAACTGCCTTGCAAGACAAGGAGTGATGAACACAGGAGACTCCATTTTGACAGAAAATAAAAGCCTCACAAACATGCTGAATCACCACAGTGAAGTAAACAAGTAGACTAGAGGCCGCCCCAGTAAGTCTGGGGAACCCCAATAAGACTCTGGCTGACTTCAAATGACCAGCTGAACTGCCTATATAAACCCAGGTGGAGCGGCTGGAAATTCAGAGCTGGGAACCAAGGAGACATTCATTCCTGTTCTCTCCAACTCTACCCGGGGTGAGTACACCGATGAAGGTAAGCTTATCGGGACTACGATGCTGAATTAATTGTTACCCCTATAGTTAATAACTTGAGTTAATTTTAGAATTGTTAGGTTGTTTGATGTGTGTTTGAGACATTCGAGAATGTCAAAGTGTTAAGTAATTATTGATCGCGTCGCCATCCACCCACCATTCACCTCTTCTCTCCAATTCATCAGGAGTTGGGAACCTGCCTCCTCTGGGAAGCCCCCACCCCACACTGAGACCTCCAGGGAGTAGGTCAGTCTCTTTCTTATGCATAGAGGTGTTGGGCACCCAGGTCTGCCATGATCTGAATTCACAGATGGAATCCCATGCCTTGCTTCTGAGTCTTGGTGTGCCCTCTGCGTGCGCGTGAAGCCCCTGTGCTGAGCTCACACACACAGGAGACTCCCCCACCGCGTGCCCTGGTCTGCACCCCAGTCTTGCTATCAGTAGGCCCCAGTGCCAATCTGTATTGTTAAGTTAAAGATATAAACACGTGGTCATCAATAGGTCTAGAGATGGTCGATAGTTTGAGAGGGAGCAAGGGGCACCCCAGGACGGCCCACTGCCTCGGTGGTTCTGGTGAGTCCTTGACGTGCCCCATCTTGCCTAGAAGGGTTTCCCACTTGCCAGCCTGGTTTCCTTAAAGCAGCACTTCTGCCAAGCCCCTCCAGGGCTGCCCACCCCCCTGCTGGCAAGGAGCTGACCTTCCTGCGTGGGCCTTAGAGGTGAATGTACACTCCTGTCTGGCTGTGCCACCTTCCAATCCGGGGCCAGGCAGGTCGCACACGACGCCTGCTTCTCCAGGGAAAGTCATCTCATCTTCCGCTTGGTCTCCCAGGGCCCGATGGTGTGGGGGGTGGCGCCTGGCTGCTTACCAAGGTTGGCAGTTTGAAACCTCCAGCTGCTCCCTGGGACCAAGATGGTGTTTTCCACTCCCATCAGCAATGGGTCTCAGAACCCCCCAGGGCAGATCTAGGGTTGCTGTGTGAGTTGGAATCGATTCGATGGGTTCCAAAGGGTTCTTCCTTCCCGGGCTGGTCGCTGGGGGCAGGAAAGTGGAATGGGATGCGGCTCTGCCGGTCACACTGACACACGGCTGGAGACGGACGGGAGCCGATGCTCCTGGCAGACTTCCTCTCACACGTGGAAGACACAGTCACCCTCTCGCCCCCCACCCCACCCCACCTCCCACTCCCAGCAGACCTGGACGCAGGCTTGTTTCTTTAAATTTTTATTTCTGGTGAATAATAAAATAATCATTTATGTGGCCAGGACAACAGGGTGAAGCCAATGCGCCACAGGGCAGGGCTTACTATGTTTGCTGCCGGTTCTGCCTCTGTGCAGAGGCACTGGCTGAGGTCGCCTCGCCTCGGCCTTGTGGACAGAAGGGGCACGATGGACTGGTGGGCACCTGGGGGCTTATGGGATGTGAGCGCAGAGAACCGGCAGGAAAGAAATCTCTTCTTGGTTGGGTTTGTTCTTTTTGAAAGGGGACCAACAGGCGCTGCCCACAGGCCCTCCTTAACAACCACACAGCTAACAGGCCCATCCCAAGTGTGCAGCACGGAGACTACGGGGAGGGCACCTCCCCCATCAACAGCCACATCATGAGGCTGTAGAGAGGGGCTTGTGTCAAGCTGGCAAGAGCCTCTGGGTTTCTGAACTCCAGGCTCTTAGCCTGGAGCCAGCTTCCCCATCGGTCTGCCCAGGGTCAGACCTTAGAGCCAGGAGAGGTGGTTTGGGGATCAGCCACCACGTGCGAAGTGCCCCCCGCCCCTCCCCCCCATCAGATTGCCGTCTGGGTCGGCTGTGAAGGGTTCAGTCTTTGGGATCCTTTCCGAGGTGGGTTTATACTTTTGTGGGGTTGCATTTCCCCCGTGAATGTCTTTGGTTGCCTGTAAGCTCACTGATAGCACCAAGTCGGTAAAGCGGTCGGAGGTCCATCGGGGCTTTCCATGCTGAACGTGTTGACTGCAGGGGGCTCCTTCCTTAGGGTTTGTGCTCAGACCACAGGCGGGTCAGAGGACCAGGGGGGCCTATGGTGACCAGTCCTAGGACATGAAGTCCCAGGCTGAGCTGGGCAAGTGGCCAGCCGAGTTTAAGCCAGAGCTGTCTGTCAAGCCAGAGCTGGCTCCTCCTCTTTTCCCAAAGACATCTGGAAGGCCAACCGCCTCCCCCTCCCCCGGCCCCCAAATGATGAATGTTGCTGAAGTCCTGACTCGGGGAGCATTTTTTGATAGAGTTAGCAATGTGTGGGCACAAACATTTGCCCAAAGATCCAAGGTCAGGTCAAAGTTACCTTGGGGGAAGGAGGGCCATACATTCACATACCTGCTCCTCTCTCCAGTGAGCAGAGAGCTCTTTCTAGCTGTCAGCAGCTCAGACCCCACGCGGACTCATTCCTGTCCTCTCTCCCTTTGAAGAAGACTCAGAAGCTCCTGGGAACACTTGGACCAGTGCCTTAAATAAGGCCAGACCACTCCCTTTGCAAAATGAGACCAACGCTTGGGGGGGCGTGGGGTGGGGGGCGGCGGCGAGCAATGAAAATCCACACCAGCAGAGGGCTGAGAACCAGCTTCCAAAAGGGTAGCGGCAGACAGCTCCAGGCAGGAGGATATTTATAGGGCCCACCAAAGCCCACTTTGTTCCGGCCTGCTCTTTAAAGCTGGGGAGACTGACTGGTCCGTTTGGCCTCTCTGAGGGGTGTCTGGTGCCAAGTGTACTCCAGGGCTTCAATGACTCGATCCTGGGATGCCTGATGTGTCTGGGGCAGGCGGAAGGGGAGGTGGGCAGCCACACCGGGCATAGCTGGAAGGAGGGGAGGGTGCAGGGGTGCGGTGGGATGAGCCAGGAGGGGCTCCTGAAACCTGCTACACGAGGCCATTCACAGTTACATTTGAACCCGAGTCTTTGGACTTGACACTTGACTCAGAGAGCATTCTGTATCCTGTCCTTTCCAGGAGTGTCTCTTGGGCCAGCACCCCAAGTTAACGAGGTAGTCCACGTTTCCCCTCTGAGATCCGAGTGGGGTTCAGGCCAGAGTACATGAAGGTGGTGCTCAGAACGATCGGCACCCCTGCCTCCCCGACCCGGGGCATCCTAGGCTGACAAGTCCTTCCTCCCACGGAGCCTTGGGCGGGCTCCACCTTCAGACTGGTTGGTTGTCCACTAAGCACTTCCCCGTTGCACTGCCAGGCTGGGTGAGCCACCCTCCGAAGACAAGCCAAGGCTCAGTGAGAACGTGCCTGGCTCCCCTCCCTGCACACACCTTCCATGTCAACAAAGGAGGGTCTCCTGGGATGTTTGATGTGCTCAGGGGAAAAAATCTAACTTGCATCGCACGGACAGGTCTCTCATGAACGTGGGAAACGGAGAGAGGCTTAATGATTGTTTGCAACCCGCTGTGACAATCGATCCCAAGCAGAATGCCCTATGGGGTCTCCCAGGCTGCAGTCTTTATGGAAGCAGGCTGCCCCATCTAACTCCCTGGGAGCAGCTGGCAGGTTTGAAGTGGCAGCTTTTGGTTAACGGCTGAGTACTCAAACCACTGTGCCACCAGGGCTCCCTGGTGACATGGACCGATGGCTGCAGGGAGACGTGAGACTTGCGCTCACTTTTAACAACCACCTCCCACCTCCACTGGAGCCCTGGGGCGTAGCGGTTACACGTGGGGCTGTGATCCGTGTGATGCCTGTCCGAACCCACCTCCTCGGGAGAAAGACTGGCCCTTCCGCTCCTACAGGCAGTTACCCTCTCGGCCCCCCGGCGGCTGCTGTGAATCAGCACTGACTTGACAGCAGTGAGTTTGGTTTTTGAGGACGACCTCCACTAACTCACCTTCCCCCATGAATTCTTCCAAAGGTACTTGCTATGGAGAAACAGTCTACCCTCTGAAGCCCTTGCCTGGCAGGCACTGCTAAGGCTCAGATTAAAGGTAGATTCCAGGTCTTAAAACGCCCTTCCAGGGAGAGGCTCCTGAAGAGAGAAACGAAGTGGTGGTGGAGGGCAGAAACGTGTCAAACGGCTGTCACACCGACTCTGGGTTCCACACGGTGTAAGGGAGAACAAGCAAAACTACTTTGTGAAAGGTTCACACTGATTTCAGGAAGATGAGAAAGAAGGAAAACATCCACGTTGGAGTCATGGACCGTTCTGAGAGCAGAGGGCCTGGGAGATGGAGCCGAGGACCGTTCTGAGAGCAGAGGTCCTGGGAGATGGAGTCACAGAGGAATTCTTTGTCTCAGCTGGAGCTCCCCCCCCCCCCTCCCCACTACAGCTGAGGGAAGGATTGCACTGATTGCCTTTGGGGGGACATGGGCTTGTGGGGCTACATTTTTATGAACAGAACCAGCCTCTGTGGAGTAAGGCGCCCACAGGTTTTATTATCACCCCTGTTCACCACACCCGGACTGGCCTCTCTGCCCTTGGGGTTACGGAGAAACAAAACACTCGGTTTTCTGGGCCACAGACTACACGATGGGTCTGGATTGAACACGTGCTCTTTCCCCCTATGAAGATTTCACAGAAGGGCCCAAGAACAGCCGTAGAGAAGGACCAACAAAAGCAAGAGTGTCGGAGGACGACATAATACTGACTTCTCTTCTTCGGTATAAAGTCCACGAGACGTGCGCCCCTCTCTCCTGAGATACGCGGAGGCGTGGGGGGAGGTGGCGGAGGAGCTGTGGGTGGGACACTGTACCGTGTGACAGCACGATCATGCAGCTGGGGCCCAAAGGGCGGAGCAGTGAGGACGAGAGAGCACTCCGGGCTCTGGGCTCGCCCCGGGTGAGTGCCCAGCCTCTCAGGAACACTGTCTGTCCAGTCCCTGGGGTGCTGGTCCCTGGGGCTCACCAGGGGTCTCTGACTTTAGCCCTCATCCTCCCTCAGCTCTGTGGGCAAGAATTTGTACTGCTGCTGGCGGATCTGGGCCAGTTTTTTCCTTGCTTCCTCCAGTTCTCGTTCTTTCTTGAGCATTTCTTCCTGGGCAGCAATGATCTAGAAGAAAAGCAACAAGTTGATGGAGCCGAACCTTTCTAGGGAGCTGCACTCTCCCACCAGGTGGGGCTCGTGAGCTCCACACGCCTGTCTTTACTGCGTGGCTTCCCAAATAGATTGGGCCCACTGCTTTCTCTTCAGGGGGAAAACAAAAATTAGTCAACATCCTGGCAATGAAAAACTTTTGTTAGTATAGCGCATCATCCAGGCTAAAGTGTAGGCATCTGTTTTTTCAGCGCCCCCTGGATCATTCTAGCACCTCTAGGGTTTGGAGGTGTGGGGGGTGGTATCATCTACTTGGGGAAATACTGCTCTCGTGGGGCCCCCTGTGTCCCAGGAACAGTATTCTTAGCTCTGGAGACTAGCCGCACAGCTCATGTTTGGGCTTTAGGACCAACACCTTAGCTGTCCCAAGAAAGCAAGCCAACTTCTGGTCCCTGAATGAACAGAACAAGCGGCTCTCCAGGGACCCACTGGGTTGGAATCCACTTAAGAGCAACAGAGGTGCTTTACTGAGTCTCTGGGTAGTGCAAAACCAGTTCACACACTTGGTTGCTCAGCAGGTTAGAGACTTAAAGTCCATCCAAACCACCTTGGAGGAAAGACCTGGTGATCAAGGTCCCCCAGACCCAGGCGCTGACAGCTCCAGGGAGCAAAGTTCTCCTCCAACGCACCCGGGTTCCCCATCACCATGAGTTCAAATCAACTTGTTGCCAGTAAGCTGGGTCTGGGTTTGGGGGCGGGGGCGTTGAACATCTCGGGGGTCAGCAAACACCACTCTGCGTTTCATCACACACCTGAGCAATGCCCCCTACAAATTTCGTTTTCACAACAACATCGTCATCATCCGCTTTGCCAAAGGCAGCCTTCTGGGCGGCGCGAACAAGATTGTCTGAGGCTCTTTTCACAGCATTTCCTGCCGCCTGGCGGGGACAAAATACAAAGTGCTGGGTGAGAAACAGTCACTTGGATCTGGCAAGGATAGACATGCAGACACAGTTCATGAGACCGATTCACCAAGACCTCAGTCACTGTATCAACTAGACTTCCTCTCTAGCCAGTGAGCACCCACCTGCCTGTCCAGTTTGCTATGATTCTACCTCCATACGCACCAACCCGACCAAGCCCAGGGTTTTCAGAGATGACAGAGATACAGCTCCCGGCCTCCACTGAGCACACAGTCTCGAAGGAAGGAGAATCACATAACAGACGGTAACTCCAGAGTGAGATGCACACTGAGAAAGACATGGGGGCAGCTTCCTTGCGGGCCCCAATCTTATCTATCACACCTTTCAGGGCTTGGCTCTGGACCGCTTCCTCCTGTTGGTCTTGACCTTCTCCCCTCAATGCTCTTGAAGCACTCTGTGCTCGCTGGCCTCTACCCCAGAAAGTGAGTCCCCCGAGGGTCCAGGCTGTGACGAGTCTTTGCATCCCCAGCATCTACACGGGCCCATGCTCACGGAATGCGCTTGGAAGTCTACAGGACTACTACACCCACCGAGCTAGGGAGGGTGGGGGGACCGATCCGTGTGGGAGGACTGGAAGGCCCAGCGTGAGAGGGCCTTATAGGTGTATTTTCAGGCACTGCCAAGTTTTATGCCATTGCTCAAGAATGTGGCAAGTGCCAAAGACCCCGAGAGAGCAGCGTTTCCATATGAAGTCTAGACCGTCATGAGGAGCCACGGTGGCCTCAGGGAGCTGCCTCTGCCGACTATGGATAGACATTTTCTTCTAATGGGGAACAACGTTTTGTGGCTCCTTCTGTCTTCCCCCGCCTAGTCCATCTCAGGACCGAGGGCTGCTTCTGACCTGGGGGTTGGTCTTCGGGAAGTGGAGACGTTTTCTCATTCACAGCTAACTGGCCCATTTGGGACCAAGGCATGGTGGTCACTGGGCTCGCAAGCACTTGCAGAAGACGGGAGGAGGAAGGCCATTACGGTTTGATGGGCAGTCATCACGTGCTTATTCTCAGAATGGCTTGATAAGGGCAGAAAGCATATGTGCACTCTGAAGGTGTGGAAACGGGAAGGAACTTGTTGAAAGCACGGCGGCGGGTGAGTTGAAGAGGCTGAGTGTTGCCCCAGTAACCCTGGAAGCAGCTGGTAAGGGCTCAGACTTCACATGACAGCATCTTAGTCAATGAGACACAACGGAGCCACAAGATTGATGCCGCGCAGCTGTCGCTAGGGGCGGTTGGTTCCGACTCATAGCAACCCTGTACCCCAGAAGGAAACACTGCCGGTCCCTGAACTGTCCTCACTGCTGGCGCGAGGGTGGAACCCACTGTGCCAATCCAGCTCATGGCTGCTCTTCCTGTTGACTGCTGACTCTCTACTTTGCCAAGCAGGGCGCACGTTGGTCTTCAAAGTGATATCTTTCTAACACTTTAAAGGGGTTATACCTAACAGTTTGCTCTAAAGAATGTTCTTCGATTTCCTGACTGCTGCTTTAACGGGCGTTGATCCAAGAAAATGAAATCCTTGACAACTTCCATTTCTTTCTTTATCGAGATGGTGCTGACTGGGCGCGTGGGAGGCATTGTGTGATCTTCCATGGAGGTGTCCTGCACCCTGAAGGCCATCGCTTTTGATCGCCATCAGGAAATGCTTCCCGTCCTCCTTGCTCCCGGCCGGTAGGGCTGCGTCAGTGCACACCCAAGGCTGTCCCGAGTCTTCCCTCGTCCGGACGCTTCCATCTTTCCGTTCGTTCAGCTTGAGGAATTCGGAAC